ATAGAAAAGTCTGGTCACCATCTTGGCCATGAGTGTATAAATTTGGGGTCTGGATGGACAGAACTACAGCTGGTTTGGCAGGTGACTCATCTCCCGTGCATGCTTTGTAATGCGTGTATTTAGCAGTGTGCCCGGAGCTCGGCTTTAGCGCATTGTGAATGTCGCCTGTTTTCACCCTGACGTCAATTTCACCGAGTGCCAGCAAACACGGGAGTAGCAACGGCCATTGTTTGCTACCATGAGCGAGGAGACCTTGACGGCGGTGACCTCTGCACACAGCGAATACCTGTACGCGTGTGTGTGTGTGCAAATACGTCTTATCTTTCGGCTCCGCACTTTGGCATTTTCGGGGTTAATCATTCACCGTGGTAACAACGCACACGCCTAACGCCGGGCCCGGCGAGTCACAGCTTTGGATTGGGAAACGGGCCCGTTGCCCGGGAAGCCATCAAAACAAACATGAGAATCGCGCCATTTCTGTGATATCATGGAGAACATTCCGACGCATTCCGCAGCTGGACGCCGAGGGATACCGAGAAACCCCCCGGAATGTTCTGCGCTTTCCCGCCAGGGGGGAAGTGTGGAAAGGAGGAGAAAGAAACAGATGAAGGGAAACGTCTACGGAACGGAGAGTGAGGAGAGTCTGATTATTGAATGCCAGGGGTCTGATTCCTGAATAGGAGGGGCCTGTTTTATGAACGGGAGGGGTCAGATTCCTGAATAGGAAAAGTCTAATTCCTGCAGTAGGAGGGGTCAGATTCCTGAATGGGAGGGGTCAGATTCTTGAATGGGAGGGGTCAGATTCTTGAATGGGAGGGGTCTGATTACTGAATAGGAAAAGTCTGATTCCTGCAATAGGAGTGGTCTGATTTCTGAATAGGAGGGTCTCATTCATTACAACCACCTGGTGCACTCTCAGCGTTCTAATGAGGAAAGTTACAGTGTCAGCATCCCTTTAGTAGTAATTAACCCTTAGTGAGTATCCCAGCCAAAAATAATTTCCTGTTGCGGGGGATACTTGTAGCTCAGTGCAGACTTCTGAGAAAATTTGGTCAGCCAATCGGGGAAGCAGGAAGTGACATTTCTGGGGGGGTTCCTTACAAAACGCCTCCAGGTTGCCCTAGTGCATTGAATTTTGTAGCAGATTTCGAGAAGTGCAGCGGCTTCACATTGAGAAGGAAAGACAATTATTAATAACATTATATTATAAAATGGCTCCTGTAGCAGTTTTATATGTTGTATTATTTTGTATATGACACGGAGGACTGAATAGGAAACAGG